ATTGGTTAATATTATTTAATTATATTGATAATATTGGAGATAGTGGAGTTGAGTTAAAGTTGAGTTAAATTTGAATTTTGAGTTGAATATTTACTGTACAAATTATATACAATCACACCCTAAGTGTTTAATCATTTTAAAAAAATTAATAATATAAAAAAGAAAAAATCAGATCTACACGGCTACTTCAAAGAATCACAAGTTGACAAATTGAATTACAATATATAAAAGAGTTGACAAATATGACTATAGAATATAAAAATCAACATAACACTGTAACAGTGAATTTTATGAAATACATAAAACTTTTGTACAATTAAGAGCTCTTTGAATTGAGACTTTGATTAATTATGAGGTGTTGGATTTTTTGATGTGTTGGTTTGTGACTTTGAGGAGAGCCATAGGTGTAGGAGAGAGAGTCTTGGAGAATAAGACATCAATTTGATTAATTGGTCCTTTTTTATTTGATATAATCTTTTTATAAGATTCTTTTTTATTCTAAGATCTGATTTGGTGGACAATAAATATTTAATTTATTAATTAAATATCTTATTTATCTCGAATTTATGTCAAAAAATAAATAAAAACATCAATTAATAAAATATTAAAATTTCGATAACTACAAACACATATATATATAATTACATTTCACTATATATCAATACTTAAATTTAAGAAATTATGCATTTATATACAGACACAAATTTGATTAGTGATTACAGTACTCTAGATGTCGTATTCTATGGATACAAACACTACATAAATGAGTAAAAACTAGTATTCGACCTGTGCATTTGCACAGATATAAATAAATTATTGTGAGTATATACATATAATGATTAATTATTTTTCTTTCACTTTTTTGCAGACCAAATTTACAATTAAAAGAGTTGGAATATTTTTTTTTTTAAAATTGCGTTTATCTGATTGGATGTAATGTATATTTTGGTACGTCTTTTATTTGTGAATTATTTATTATTTATTTAGGAATTTCAAATATATTTTTTATTTTAAAAAAAAATTAAATGTAACAACAATAATAACATCTAATCACATTATACGGTCAACACATTATATGGTCAACTGTCATTAATCAAAAGTTTAAAATGATTTTTGTAATTTTGAAGTGATGAGTATTAATTATTTAATGATTAAATGAAAGATTAAATACATCAAAATGTAACAGTTTTTGGAGGGAAAATTATTAAATTGCCACATAGGTAAAATTAAATAGGTTTTATTAAATTCTATTAGCTAGTAATTATATATATATATAGATTATTCACTAATCAGAAAATTTTGATTCTTATTACATGTTATTTGATCAATTTTTTATTCTTAATCATTACATGTTATTGGATGTGTGATCCTCTCAACTCTCACTCTAAGGCACGCATGACACAACAGTACACCCAAATACAACATAAATATTAAAAATTTAGTCAAAATTGTACTTAATCATGATCATATTTGTTATATAAAAATAGCAGATAACATGATAACACAAATACACAATACACGATCTGTCATTAGCATGCAAGATCACATTGTGACACTGATATAATAGTAGGATTTTTTTTTTTTTCTAATAATACGTCTTACATTAAAATTCTAAAATATTTTTATGTCAACTTACGTCATGACAGCATCGGCTGATATCACCCGAAAAAACGTTATAGCGGTAGTGGAGGATCACCCATAAATTTATTTATTTTTTTAGAAAAATAATTGAGAAAAAAAAAAAGAAGAAATTTGAAAATTGAAAGTACGTACTCGAGAAAAGGTCTTGAAATGGGACCATTTTAGCCATGCGTGTGTATTGTGTTCTCACACACCAGTGAAAAAAAATAAAATGATGAAATTTCATGAATATAAAATTGACCTCACTTTTTCCATTTTAAAAAACAGAAATGAAACTCCGTACCGAAGAAAATTATGACAAGAGGAGCACGCACCAATATGAGATATATAATTTATTGAGGAAATCTTTCATTTTTACTCCAAATTTCATGCGTGCTCTTGGTCTTGATCAAATCAACTTCTTTTTATTTTCCTTAACAAATTTAGCAAGAAATTTTTTTCTCTCCTACGAGATTGGATGTCTTATTCCAGCATGTATAGCTATAGAACTGAAAGATGTTAGTTGTTGTATCATTAAAGGATGATTTGCAACTATAAAGCACTGAAAGTGATCAGTTCTCAAAATTATGGAATGTGAAATTCAATCTAATCAGACATTAAATAGCAATGATATGTGTGATCAAGATTTAATCTTTTAATTTTTTTCAATTATTTAATAATTGGTTGACCATCAGAGTTGATCGACAGCATTAACCGACACAATCGCCAATTTTAAAATTGCATTTAGTTCATACATAATGCATACTTAATTAATACCAAATATGCAATTGATATCAATTAAATATTTCTTATGTATGGACCAAATATATATATATATATATATAATTGCTGGCTAATAAGCATTTAATAAAACCTATTAAATTATAACTATGTGGCAATATAACTTTTTTTCTCAAAAAACTGTTACTTTTTATTTATTTAACCTCTCATTTAATTATTAGATAATCAACACACTAATCACTTCAAAATTATAAAAATCATAAACTATTGGTTTACTTAAAGATGACCATATAATATGTTGACTATTTAACGTGATTAGATGTTATTGTTGTGGTTACATTTAAACTAACTTCTTTTGGAAAATAAAAAACGTATTTGGAATTCCTAAATAAATAATAAATAATTCACAAAAAAATACATACCAAAATATACATTACATCCAATATGATAAACGCAATTTAAAAAAGTAAATATTCCAGCTCCTTTCATTGTAAATTTGTCCTGCAAAAAAGTGCAAGAAAAATCATTAATCATTATATGCATACACAAATAACTCACAATATTTTATTTATATCTGTGCAAATGCTCAAGTCGAATACTAGTATGTATTATATCTGAACTAAGTGTACAAACTTGAAACTGACAGTGTCGTTGCTGTTGACGCTGGTATCAAAATATGCAACTGATATCAATTAATTATGCATTATATATGAACTAAATCTGTCTTATATATCTATAAATTACATAAAACACCTTCTCCAAATATTTTTTGATTGAGATCACAGGAAAATTTAAGTAATTAGGTATAAAATTTTATACATCAAACTTTGAATAACGATGTAATAGTAATGTCATGATATTGATAAGCATTTATTTCACCGGTAAGAAATGACATTAATTGTAGATTGTAAGATCATGTCCCTAAACAAAGTGGGCCAATTAATGGAGGTGGCATGGAAAACAGTAAAGAGTGCGTACAGTCAAAAAAGCACAGATTAAAGGGTAAAATATGATTTGCTCTAATTTACAATGAGCATTATAATGCTTTATAGGCTACATATATAGCGTCAGTCCCTTTTGGGCGTAAGAACATATACCTTGTCGGGGTTGGAAGGCTAATTGAGATAATTAATTACTCCCTAACTCCCTTTAAATGTTGCATAATAAGAAAATATATGTTTTGTTACAAATGAAGAGATTGAAATAATTTGATAGTCATATTGGAAAAGTCTTATTTTTACGGATCTCGTGTTGAGTTGATTTTAAGTAGCGAAAAACATATATCTATCAAAATTTTTTTCAATTTTTACTTGAAAGAGAAAATATTTTTATATATTTTATATTACGAAGATTTGTGTTGATATCTGGATGTTCGAACACCTATTGCAAATTCAACATAAAAGAGTCTTTGGGAGAATAATCTTTTAAGGTGAATTCGACCGAGCTTGTTCACTCAGTATTAGCGGGAAAATTTCAAAATTAGTCCCACAGGTATAGGGGGTGACAATTTTGATCCCGACGGAATGCAGAAAATATAAATAGTCCCACATCTTTTAAAAAATGATCAAAAGTAGGACTTTTTCGCCGGATTTACTATTTCCGGCCCGGAACGCCACGTGGCATCCGACGTGTTCATATTTTTTTACAAGTTGTGGGACTAGTTTTGAATTTTCTGCATTTCATCGGGACCAAAAATGTCACTCCTCTATACTTGTGGGACTAGTTTTGAATTTTTTTCTATCTACATTGGGCCGGAAATAGTAAATCCGGCGAAAAAGTCCTACTTTTGATCATTTTTTAAAAGCTGTGGGACTATTCATATTTTGTGCATTCCGTCGGGACCAAAATTGTCACCCCCTATATCTATGGGACTAATTTTGAAATTTTCCCCAGTATTAGCATTGGAAAGTCAATAGGAGTTGTAGAAAATTTTGTTATTAGAGAATGTATATTGTGAAAAGTTTATAACTTGTGTATTTTTTAATGTATTGCACAAAATAAAGCATTTGCATGAATAAAAGAGTTAGAAAATCTTGGAGTGCTTTTGAAGACACAATGATTACATGATGGGACCTTTTGGAAGCACAAAGTTTTGGCGTGGAAAATATAAGAAGTATAGTAAAATAGCTATCCAAAAACAAAAGGTCATTATTTGTAAGAACGTGTGAAAGCTTATTGACCATAGTACCAAAAGAAAGGTTAACCTAATATATGCACTTATGTAATCTTACTTTTATTTTTACTTTTACTTTCATTTT